ATTGATTCTTGAAGCACGAAGCACATTCCAGGCAATATCAGAAATTATCAGGGCCAGGCTTCTCTCTACCAAGGGGTATAGCTTGAGTTGGGGAATTTCAGTTTGGGTTGAGGAATCGCATTAGACCCAATGTTTGCTCTAAGGAAGTGGAAATATTAGCTAGTCAGATCTGCAGACCCTGGACGCAATTCAGAGACAGCCATGAAAGTGGTCAATCACTGAGGTGGACTGGTTATTGGGCCCATTTTGATTACCTGGGATGCCTTCCCAGTTATTTTAGATACTGTAAGACCTCTAACCCTCACCCCTCAACACATCCAGCCACTCCCATTGATCTTGCACGTCAACTCCTGTCATACGCCACCCATGCCCCTCATACCCTGTGGCCCCTCAATTCCAACTAAAACCATACATCCACCACCCATTCACCTGATACCCAGATGGCTTCTGCATGCTAACTAATTACCCCTACCTATCACTCATGTCCCCTCTTACCATGTCACATAACTCCTCACACCACTATTCACCTAATATCCACCAAATGCAGATGTAGAGATGAAAACAAAAGTTCGAATAATGTAATACACCTCTTACAGACATTTGACAGTGAAAACTATTCCTTTACAAAACTTCTAAATCTAAAGTAGTCAACATTTTATATAAAAAAGCTTATATTTAGTCCATACATGAAACATATCTGATCCTTTAATAATGTCTTTAAACTGTCACTCAAATATGAACTCAGATCCTGGCTGAAATAATGCTTTGCAAGAAAGCATTCTTTTATTTTCAAAAAATTTTTATAAATATTTTTGTTCTTAAAACTCAGCCAAATATTCATGATGATCTCAGCTTTAACTGCAGATTTTGTGAAATGTCACTATTGAAATTGTGGATCATCTGGTCATGGTGTTTTGAGATCTGTAGCAGATGCCCTGTCAATTAAAACAATCCAGCTATTTTTTGATTAAAAAAAGACTCTCGCTGATCGCTCAATTCTGTTTTCCACTTGAGTTTAAAGAATGACACTTAAGCAAATTTTAACTTGTCCTTCACAAGTATTTATGAATACTCTGTCAATTCATAACTCTCACACTGTGGGTTGAGATTATTGAAATGGGGTCTGCTAAAACTTAGCACACACATCAAAGGCCCTACTGAGTTTGAGTTTCCTGCCTGTGTCATTAATGCCCCATTCTTTTACTTTACCAGGAAAAGATGCTATTTTGTTAATAATAGGAGTGTGCCTTCTCTTCACCATTTATAAAGTTCTCTAGTATCTTCCCAACTCTGCGAAAATATGGTCCTTTTTTTAAAGACTTTTAACCAATTACAACTGTGACTACACACCTGAAAGTATGTCAATGGCTGCAAAGCATTTTGGGTTGGGGGGGCTGTGGTTGTGAAAGGTGCTTTATTAATGCAAATCTATCATTCATTTTTACCTATAAACATTGCCATTACATTTATACCTTTGTGCACAGGTGTTACATTATCTGCTTGAAGAAATGAAGGAAGTACGAAATGCAATATTAATTCTAATGAGTTGATCGATACAAATGGGGTCATTGCTAAGCTCTAGCTCTGGATTGTTAAAGGAACTGAGATTGCAAACTCTGAAAAGTTCAGCTTCCAGAAGCTGACTGTAAACCGCAGCCATTGGGTCATTTGCAAAAGGAAATTTTTGAAAACATAGGGTGATTGTAACTTTTAAGAATTAGAAAAACTATTATCACTATTCCCTACATTACTTTATTACATTTGTCTGGGTGTTTTTCCTTCAGAGAATATAACACATGATTATGTACAACAGCTGTAGTGAGTAGGTGTATGGCATGACACATAGCCACACTGTATTAATGCATCAAAAATAGATTAATTCATGGGATTCACTGAGTTGAATATTCACACATTATTTTTTGTTCATTACCATCCAGAATGAAATTAATTAAAAGGGATGGTACTTTCAATTCACCAGGGACCGTAAGGATACAATGCAGCACCATACTTACTACACCTGGCAACAAGAAGCTTTACTTGCAGAAAATAATAAACTTGAGTAAAGGGGGTAGGAGACTACTGTGTAACTGGTGTAGGCAAACAAACGGATCAATTTTAAAACTCCAAACACACTCTGGTCTCCATTTCCCTGAAATGTCTCCAGTGGGAAAGTGTGCCAATGTGATTTAACTAAAAGCAACATGGATCATAATTGACCAGGGTGCCAACCTAAAGTTGCCCCACTCAATAAAGGCATCTACTGACTGGACCATGTTCCTGCGATATTCTATCAGATTTCAGGTTAGCTTTCTTTTACCTCCAATGGAAACTACAGGTTAAACTTTCAGTGAAATGGAATGCCCATTAACACACCTTAATATTCAAGTGCTTGTAATATCATAACTCTAACATCCAAACCACTCTTACTGGTGCCACCCTTTAAAGGCAGAAAGCATGGAGACGGTTGAGGTAGAGGCGATCTACTGGTGGTGTTAAAAACCTTGAGGAGTTTAAGTCAGTCAAACAGGGAACTGCTATTTCCACTGGCCACTGAATTTTCAAAATAGAAGACTTGACCTCAGCTACGCTCCAATATATTATGAATGCAATGACAATGCTGGTAATTAGTCAAACACAATAACACGTCATTGTCAACAAAATCAGTAACTGTAGGACAAGGGATAGGGATCAGCACTGAAAGAACTGAGGGAAAGGTGAGGAGAATTTTTAAATACAATTGTCAGAGAGTGGGACGACCAATCCATAATACAGGAGCAAACAAAATTTACAGGGCTTTTAAAAAGGAGAAGTGGACAACTATTTATGTATAAAATATTTATGGATATGTGTAAAGGCCAGAGGAATGGAATTATGTGAATATGCATCAGAAGGAACAGCTTAATGGGCTAAACAGGCTCTTTGCATCTGATACACAAGTCTCTGAAATCGTGGGCGATAGGTCCCTCTAATTGGGATCTGACCTGACAGGAATCTTAGGGCAGAACTAAGACTGTATCAGGGCAGGTCCTGCTCCAACTGATCTGACTAGATTGATTTTGTTCAGAAGATTTCTCTGCTCCTACTGGGTGGTTTATACAGCTATTGCAAACTGACTCAAGGTCGAGTTACTCTACTGAGTGGCAACATGGTGCTTTGGGAAACCCTTTGTAGAGGTTTTCTTCATCCAAACGGATCGTAACAGACAAGCCTTGTTCCCCTTATGTCACACGTAAATGAACAATTGGTAGCTGTTCTCAGTAGCAGCACTATGGTTTGAGAAGTGAGTGAAGGAAGTTAACAGGTCTTTTCTGCCTGCTGCACTGGTTCACTTTTTGATCTGTTTTCGCAGGCTGCTCTTGCCCACTAAACTCTGCAGGATGCAATACATGGAGGCTGTTTTCTGATGGTGTAATGTTGACAGCTACCGCTAGGGTGCCTTGCTGCATGACTGCAAACATGAGAGAAGGTTGAACTCTACAAGCGCGGACCAACATTATGGCTCATGCAGAAGTGAGATCGGGAATAACTGAATAGGAATTATCAGGTGGTCAATTGTTCACTTGCAGAAAGTGAGTAAATTCTGAAACACCACTGTAATTACAACTCACAAGCATTACACTCCACATCTTGCACGGGGTTGAGGAGCAGACCAATCTCCATTCAGTTAAATCCGCACAGTCATTCAAATAGAACATTTAAGAGTAACATCTTAGAAATTAAAATCTTTTACAAGGGTGAAAGTCCTTTTCAACATGCAAGACTTGTCTTCAGGAGGGATAGTAAATATCATGGAAAAAAAACAAGTCCAGGCTAACACTTCATATGTAATACATCGCAACTGAACACAGTTCAAACTAATACAAGGTTTCCATATACTGTGACGGGTTGATAGGTAGAATAGTGGAAACATAAACCTGGCATCATTTATACACTTTATATCATCATTGGGAGTCTTGTATCTTTTCTTGATGAGGTAGCATAGGCCAATTAGCCTCTTTTTTACCTCCATCCTTGTGACTTGAACACATGACAAGAGTCCAGAATTCTTCAAATCTTATGTTAAGTAGTGGTGTAATAATGGTGTAAAAACAATCATAGAGTAAAGGTCTGAGAAAATCTGGCTGCATTAGGGCAAGTTTTAAGTGACATGTCCAACATTCACTGTCATGTTTGCTCATTCGTGAACTCTCTCTTAAAATGCCCTGTCACTTATTAACACAACCCTACGCACCACTATTTCAATTCCCTGTGAAAGAGCAAAGAGCCATCCTGCCCTAATGCCAGCAGAGGCAGCCAAAGGAGTCACAATGTCAGGAGCACAGACAAGTGAAAGCCTGTCAGGTTAGGGAACATCATCTCAGTGCCAGAAATGGACAGCACCATGCATCATTCCCATGCACACATTCCCCACTGCAGCCACTGAACCAACTCTCACACAGCAGGATTTCCACTCCCTGGATCCTTAATCCTGGGGAACGCCCATTGCCGGCCACTTAAGTTTCAAACTGGCAATTAAATAACACACCTTCCCTAAAAAAGGTGATGTGAGAATCTCAGTGGCTCTTCAGTCAGGGAGCGAAAAACTCCCCACCCCATCACCAAAATTAAATTCCACCTTTTGTGCCAGTCCTGTGCTTTCCTTATTACCAGATAGTCTATTCTGATTTTCTTTCGTTTACGCTGTTCTTTTAGATATCTGTTTGCTGCATGTTAATAAGATTGGAAGAAAGTTTTGGCACGAGGCAGCAGGATCAGCTGAATGTGGATATTGCGCCAATATAAATATTGGCATAACTTATCAAATTTTAGCAAATTCCAGATTAATGTTCTTCATTCAATGGTTCATTATAGGACTGTAGTCACTTCATTGAACAAAGTAGACTGTTGTTATGGGGACTAGTGTGTCATATAAATGCTTCATATGAACACTGAAATGTGTTTGAAATTTGCATTCCCCAATCCCTCCCATTCAATTACCCCTTGCCTTCCTGAAAACTTACCTTGCAAATGCAATCTGCTCTCAGGACTCTGCAGTAGAACAGAACTCACTGAATCAAGGTTCTCATAACTGCTACACCCCAGAGGTCCAGTCCGTGTCTCTGTTACCTGCAACACCAAAGTATTTTACATTTACATTATGGAATCAGCACAATCTCAATTTCTCATGTTAAAACTGAATTAAATCTAATCATGGGTGTGTGTCAAAGAATGATGACTGCCACCTCTGACTGAATGTGGAGGCTTCTACATGACCTGTAACCTTCACCCAGCCCACTCATACTGATAGTAGCTTACATGACTGTTGCATGTCCTTGTTTCAAGAATATAATTAGTCATTTAATGTCCATAAGACAAGCATAAAGCTTATAAAATCAGAATGTACTCAAGTGGAACTGGATACTTAAGTGTCATCATAAGACTATTGAAAATATCAATTACCTCAAAATGTTAATAAAGGTTGATAGGTTCACTCTCTCCTATTTTACTCTAGTTTAAATAATACAATTTTATTTAACTCTTTACATCATTTATTTTGATTTTTTTTAATAGTTGGAATAAAAATTACATAATTTTTATAAGGTTCCCTCCAGTCTTTCAACATCAGAGATCAAATTTTCTATAATTTGCTCACTTACAAATGAAGCTTCACAACATTAAAATAGTTAATTTCAATTGTTGAGGCTTTATTAACCTTTGGAGAAGAGTGAATAATCTAAAGAGCCTATACCAGGCCCTGATGGGGCTCAACTTGCCCAGCTACAATTATCCAAATTGTTCAAATAACAACAAAGGATACTTTTCATCGCAGTGGCTTAAGCCCCAGTCATGCAGCCCATACATGGATAAAGTGCCAACACATGTTAAGCTATGCCTGTCAATAAAGCCCCAGGTAACATTGCAGCATCTTGTCTTGTTAAATGCTGTGATGGCTCATTTCAATATCAGACTAACCAATGCACACAGAACCCTCCTTGTTCCCTGATTCAGTCTTCTTCAGCACTCTGCCAGTGGGATTACTGTAATATAAATACGGATAACCACGTTTGGAATAGGTTTATGGAAAACTAATTAAAGAATTTATGCATGACTGAGATAATACTTTTTAATTTTCTCTGACTTTCGGTGTAAGCTTCAATAATTTTGAATGAAAAGGGAGGAAAATGGATACGGTCTCATTAAGAGACAGTTCCATTTCTAACCTAAGCAGTAAAGATCAATGATAGAGATTTTGCCTTTGCAGTTCTAAGCATACAGACAAGTCAAGAATCATTTTGCAATCATCCAACATTGCAGACAATCTGCACTGTCTTTCTGTTTTCTGTGATACCATACAGCAACCTTGTTCTAATGAAGGATGTCTTATAATGAGGGTATTCTATAGGTTACCTTCATTAAATGAAGCAGCAAGAGCAATGCGGTGTCCTGGACGCTGCTGTGTGTCAGAGATGTTAACAAAAGGGCTGCACACTATTACTGAACTTGGGAATAACATGAACAGTGTGACTGTCAATGAGAGCTTTTTGCTTGCTACATACAGTACATAACTGCAATATTCCTCCCGAGGCTATCTTTTCACTGCAATGAAACGATCTGCAATTGCCAAGGTTTCATTCAGATCCTGTCCCATAACCTGCCCTCAGGTTGCACTGCGCATTTGCCTGTGATGTTTGGGTGAGTTATTTAACTATTGCTGTACCAAAGCTGTGATTTACTTTGGTATTCTCCAATACACAATAATATGAAATAAATCCATACAAACGGTTTATTAACAGGGCATTGTCATATTCGGTTGGCTGGGCTTGTGAATTGGCTTTTCCTTTATATAAAAATAGCACAATGATAAAAAAAACACAAAATATAAATTATGTACAATAACAAAAGTGGTGTACATTTCAAGATACTGTGATATCCATGTTAAACACAAAGGCATATTGATAAGTTATAGACTTCAGGGTCCATACATAAAGGTCATCATTTCCGTTTTTTTATACTGGCTGCCTATCCACACTATTTCTAGGTCAAAGTGGCAAGTTCCAATATCTACCCAAGGTACCAATATCGCAAACAACAAATGAGAGCCTGGGCTGCAGAGCATGAGAGATTACATAAATTACTTCATTCCAAAAAGACAGGTTAATATTTTGGGTTAGAATTGTTACAGGCTTTATACATCTGCAAAGAATATGCACCTCTGTAACATCACAATACAAGTGCTTTATGCCAACCTGATGCTTTGTGCTACTGAGTTCACACCTGAGTTCACATAATGAAATGAAAAGTCATTTTCTTCAGAGACCTTGACTCTAGAAGAGAGGAAGATTTCTTCTGATCACGCTGAACTAGATTTGAACTCAGGTGTCAGAATCTACAGTAACCTTGAATAATTATAACTCCTGAACTATTTCTCCAATTTATTTCTGCCTTCAGCACTATATTACTAGCAATATAAATCTTTATGCTGGATTGATAAATTTTAGACTGATCAATCCCAAATTTTTTGATTGAAATGCTCAAGCAAGGATTGATGAAGAAGATAGCATCTGAATACTTCAAAGGAGAGCAGAGAAATCTTCCTGTTTTTTTCAGCCTCGATATATATCCCTCAACCAACACCACTGAAGCAGATTATCTGATCATTTATTTCAAGCTGTCTATCAAATACTTGGTGTGTTAAATTAGCTGTTACATGTCTTCTGTTACAAATGATGATGCTTCAAAAGTAATTGGCTGTAAAATATTTTGGAACATCCTGAAGCTTTCACTCAAATCACCATCAACTCTTCCTACAGTTGAAAAGCTGGACTCATTTCAATTTACCCTGCTTCACAGAAACAATGAGTTGTGAAAAAGACAAATAAAACACAGTTGGAGTGTTTGGGGCCTTATTATGATGCAATATAGGAGTGGGGTTAAGATTTTATCAAAGTTAAAGTGCTCTAAAATCAGTTTTGATTGTGAAAAAAGTTACTTTATCTATCATTCTAGATATGAATTGTTGACAAAATAAAAGCCGAAAGAACTATGGATGCTGTAAATCAGAGAAAAGAAGGCAGAAATTGCTGGAAAAGCTCAGCAGGTCTGGCAGCATCTGGAGACAGAAATCAGAGTTAACGCTTCCAGTCAAGTAACCCTTGTCATTTGACCTGAAATGTTAACTCTGATTTCTCTCCACAGATGCTGCCAGACCTGCTGAGCTTTTCCAGCAATTTCTATTTTTGTCTATGAATTGTCGACTGTGAGCTTAACTTAGTCTTATGAACCCACTGGAAAAATAAGAAATTTTTTTTATTATTACTGTGAGTGTAAATCATGTGGCTCTGTACTATTCCAATTTAAGGTCATTTTTAACCATTTTAATTTTGTAAGAGTCCACAAGGCCTCTGACCTTAAATTAACGCTGCTTAACCTTAAAATCATAATCAAAAGACAACAAGAAAAATGTAGTTTTTCACATGTCTCTGCCTCACTGACAATGTGCATTCGATCAAAGATTTTAACTCAGTAGAGAATGATCCTGTGCCAGAATGGGTCAATGGAATCAGATATACTATTATGTAGTTCATCCTCTTCCCCTGAGCTCCTCAAAATGTGAAATTATGAAATCATGAAAGGTTATTGCAGTTTCTTTTCATCCCAGTGATGATGCAGTTTCAGGTCTCTCCTCTCAGCTGGGAGCCATTTGCCTGGTGACATTTGTAGAAGTATCACTCAGCAATACACAGCTCCATTGAAAATCCCAAGGCAGAGTACAAATTATCTTTGGGTATTTTGAGATGAGGTTAAAACGCCACTGTCAGCATGTGTCCCATAATGGGTGTGTTGATGGGTACATGCACTAAGCAAGTAGATTCAGAAGACTGTTTGGAGGGTGATTTAAATAATCGCCAGAATCTAGAACATCTCCAGTTGAAGGAAGCATCCACCAATGAACCTTCTGGACATTGATTACAGACAATTTGTTACACAATATGGAATGACCCAGGTAGAGATCATGAATCAGCGCCCCTTTTCTAACCCCCTCTTGGCTGATTGCAATGAATGTTTTTTTTTAGAATACAGCTATCACACTTCAATAAAATGATGTAGCTCCCTAGAAAACAAAGGAGCCAATTACCAAGGTTTTTTTCAGGAAAAAAGAAGAGAAGTTTCATTGCCTACTGACCACAAGAAGAAATAATAGAAATGTGACATCAAACACACACAGCTAATGATTTTTAAAGGACCGTGTCTGGTACAGACAAGGTTTATAATGGTCAGGCAATTTGTAAGTGACAGCCCTTGAAGTGTTCTAACCTGAGACCAGAGTTGTTTAATTGTTGACTGGCAGCCTCAGCAATTTCAATATTTGTAGAAATCTTTAATATCTTTGCAGATATCTTTGTGTACTGCAAATCTACCTTCTTTAGACAATAGACACACTGAGATTCCTCCAGCTCCATAGCTCTAAGATTGCCCTTGTTGGCAGCATTGTAAATAGGGCCGAGCCATTTGCTTACCATACAAACTTGAAGCAAATGTATCAATAGCTACTCTGATCAGATACTTTCTTGTTGTATGCTGCACAATCTCTTAAAATGGCTCATGGTCACACCAGATCTTGATAAGTCCCAATTCTACTTCAAAGTACTCAAAGGCTTGAGCAACAGGTTAAACTAGCTGTTTCAAGTTGCTACTATGCAGGAGTAACTTCTGTGGTTTTACTAATGACAGGATACTGCAGCCAGGTCAGAAAGGCATTCTGCCTCTCTCACAAGGGAGTAATGTGCTATATGAATTTCAGTGCTGGTGTGCAGCTCGTATGTCACAATGACTGGTGGGTCATATCACACAGGATCTCTCTTTGGCTGTTCACAACAGCAAGTTACTGATGTATCCAGCCAGCCTGAGCATGCAAAACTTGCAACATAGTGTTCATCATCAGATATGATTCTACAAATTGAACAATATTTGTTCGATAAGCCTAAGTGTGCAAAGAATTATGCTGACAACCAATTTAGGATTGTCAGTCAGGCTTGCGGTATGGCATATTTGAGTGTACTGAAAACTACTTTTTAACATTAAAGACCCTGCTCTTTGCTGACAGAAAGAATGTGCTCATATATTGT